CCCCCCACACACACACACTAACTTAACGAAACACAGCAAGCTAGGTATATTTCAGCTTGCGACTTTTAGCATAGCTGGAAAGGAAAAAGGTGCTTACGGTATTTCTTCTCGAATCTTTTCTGTACACATTATTAGCCTCTTTTCTCAATTTCCATGAGTTTTAAACGCGCCCAGTTTTCTTTAGCTATTGAGTTTAAGCTACACGCGAGCAGTGGAGGCACGCTTTTCTTCAATTTTTTTTCGTCTTGAATTTCTCGTCAATTAATACTACTCCGAGGGTTCAAGTTATTATCACAACCGGCTGTTGCGAGTTTAAGAGGAACAATCGATTTCATAAGCTTTTAAAACCGCCAACTCGATGTCTTTGTTTTCCTTTTGAACGGGGCGAGCGGCTGTGAGAACCAGCTGTGCATTAACCTCTCAATTGCCGTGAAGGTTCTAAAATCCCACGGAAAGGCCTGACTACTTCCGACCTGGCAATAAAGGGGTTAATGACGGCCGCGCGAACAGGCCAACTGGGAGTGAGGGCTCAAAGTGATGCTAGAGCGCACAGATAATGTAGCTTATAATTGAACACTAAAACCGCCCTCGTAAAATGCGCATAGGCTGACATTTTGCACCCTAACTCATTAGCTAAATGTTCGTAGAAGTGTTCACGGACTAGTTCTTTTTTTAAAAAAAATTCTATTCGCCGCTCCCCTCCCCCTTCACATGAGTTTCCTTTTCCTCTTCCTCCTCATCCTCCTCCTCACACTTCTTTTTCTGCTCCTATTTTATTTTTCCTTCTCGTCGTCCGTGCTCTTTTTTCACGACTATCCTTTTTTTCGAGTGCAACTGTGTCTGTTCAGCATAAAAACACATTCTCTCTCCGTTTGTCGACCTGTTTGTCTCTTACACCCCCTCCCACCAAACACACACACACATACACACACACACACACACACACACACACACACACACACACACACACACACACACACACACACGCACACACACACACACACCAACATGCATATGCACACATACATCAGTCATACAATAAATGTTAACTTACCAGATACCGCCTTCTAGCCTTTCATTTATGACTTCTGGCTCACCGAAACTGTGTCCTGTAAAAACAAAGAGTATCCAGAGTAGGAATATACAAAATATGAGTGAACATAAACAAAGAGATTTTCACCATCTCCTATCCCTCCCATCCCTCCCATCCCCCTCCCATCCCTTGTCTCTCTCTCTCTCTCTCTCTGTCGGACTTCACATAAACTTTTCCTTCTAAGCTTATTTTCACAGGCGCTAATATTTCGAAAAGAAAATCTAGCCATTTACTCGCCCCCTCTCTCCATCTCTTCCGATCATACTTTTTCTCCTTCCCTCATCTCTTTCTTTCTACTTTTTCGCCTTTCTCTACCCCCCCTCCCCCCGTCTCTCTCGTTTCTCCTTTTTTTTCTTTCCACGTCAGCCTTCTTGTCTCACTGTTTTTTCTCAGTACACAAACATCTACTCA